ACTGGTCTCTTAAAAAAAACTTTTCGATCGAAGAAACTGATAAAGATAAAAATTCGTAAGGTGAGAGCTATCTGTATTTTATGCATACATTGGTTTGAACTTATCTTCGATAATCGAAACTCGATCGTTCGATTATCGAATCGCCATCGCCAGTGACTGCATAAATAAATGGCACAGTCTGACCAACAGTTTTTGTCCCAAGCGTCAATATTATTAATGTCAACAGTTGTCTGTATATATATGTATATATACATATATATCTGTAAATACTGTATTTTTGAAATAAAAAGAATATGTCAGCGGACAAGGATATCGTTACGTTGAAGGATCAAGAAGGAAAGAACAAGCTGAAAGTTTACTGTACATTTTGCCCGTCAAAAATGCTGAATGCTGGTGCAGCCCGGCTGGTAAACATCGAGGTGAACACTTGCGGTTTTAATTATAAAATATCAATATCAAAGTTAAATAGCGAGAAATGTTAATATTCGTCAAAGCTTCTCTGTATACATATGTTGCACATTTAAACGCATTTGTATTTCGTCACGTACCTAACCTTAAAACTTGTTTATTTCGCGCTTTGTCGTTGGTTAGCGTTGTTCCTCAATATCGCGAAATATTTAGTTAAGAAAAGTAGAATATGCAAGTAGGCTAAGCTGTGTAATATAACGTTTTAGTTTAATCTACCCTATATACACCATAAAGGAGATGGTGAAGCTGATCAACAGGAACTGATAACCAATTATTGGTTGGTGGAGGATATGTACACATTTGAAAATATCGGTGTTTCGCATACGGTAGACCGCGTAAAATATTTAGCATGTGCTGATTGCGAGAGGGGACCAGTGGGCTGGCACGATCTATCTACGAAGAAATCGTACATTGCATTAAATAGAGTTAAGCACGAATGATTTGTAACAAATAAAATTATTTTTTAAATTTTATACGAAAAGTGGCCTGATTTCGTTATTTAAGATTCTGCTAAGATAGAACAGAAACCAGAAGAAGAATGTTTAAAAAAAGCTTGGAGGAAGAATGCACGTTGCGCTATTTAAGTTGATAATTTAATATTTAATCACGTACGTTACAAACACAGCCGATAAATCAGATAATCAATCGTCGTTACGATATAACAACAATAATTTCAATAATAATAATAATCAATAATAATAATAATAATAATAATAATGGTAATAATAATTAATAAATAACGCTTACGATTAGAAACGATTTATCAATGTATGTATATACTTAATAAGTATGCAATTTCGTGTGAATTAATTTTATCATAATAATGTATTGATGTTGAGATCGCGGCCGTTCGAGGCGCGACAAGTTTTATGCATTGTGCATGTTGGCATAATTATTTTATGTGATGCGTTTTGTAATGCGTGTGGATCAGGTCTACGTGTATTTACGCACTTGTATATGTATTTGTATATGCATATAAATCAGTGTTTTTTCTTTCTTTTCTTAAAAAATAATCTCGATACTTGAATTTTGCATTTTCGATGTATTTAAGAAAGTGTAAATAAGAAAAGATCTTTTCCATCGTTTATCTCTCATTGTACATTGTAGGTGTTTTGTTTCTTTTCTCTTTTTTTTTTTCTTTTTCGTTTTGTCTTTTTCACGACGAAAGAAATGTATACGGTACTGGTACTGGGCTTAGTGCTCGTTAGAGTCGAGATTGATGTATTTTGTTTGCTTTTTTTTTTCACCTATTTTCACTTTTTTCTCTTTTTCGCCCCTTTCTCGTTTCGTTATGTTATCGATCGTAGTAAGTTCGATCGTGAAAGGAAAAAATTGTCGCGTGTTCGCAAAGCCTTTGTTAGAAAAGTCAATTACAATTATATTCCGATCGGGTATTCCCCCGCCACTTCCTAGTTCACGTGAAATTTGCCTGAAATATTGGAAAAATAGTCGCGCGCATTCGTTCTGAACCACCACCAACACGTTTGCCTCTCCCTAATAACATCACAGCTTTTTTTCGCTCTCCTCTCTCCCTTCCTCTCGTTACAATATCATCGCTCAAGCCTCGTGTTTCGTATCCTATTCGATTTAACTACGTTTGAATCGGATCGAGGTTAAACGTGCATAATATGTAACTGCGAACGTGTAATCGATTTACGGTAATTACAAGTAATCGTTTGCAACGATATACAATGTTAATCGTCGGTAATGTAAATTACACAACGGCAACGACGATGACAGGTGTCGATGGGCAATGAGGATAAAATTTTCCGTTACCATATGTTGTAAAATAGCGAGCAACGACGATAAACTTAACGATATCCATAGAACAGTAGAGCTTGTTAATAGAAAGTAAATAACGTGTTGGATAAACAGTAACGGTGAACAAGTGAATCGGATCAACGATGCGATTATTATACATATAACTCCTACGCTAAGAGAATTCTCTTCTTTTCTTTTTTTTTTTTGTCGAAATTGCATATAATACTCGAGAATGTTATCGATCTTTAATGTAGTAACGTTTATAAGGCTCGTCTAATACAGTCTCGTCTCGTCTCGTCTCGTCTCGTCTCTTCCTCCTCCCTTCGATTCCGTTTTTCCAAAACGTAGCATTCTAAGAAGCGAATCGATTTTCTATTTATTATTACGCATACCTTACGCTCGCGTTACACACAATTCACAGAGTGCTTTTTCCTATCCGTGCATCACTCCGATAGATGCAGTGAAAAGGTAGAAAAATAACAAGAATAGAATTGGATAGACTAGTAGAGAATCGAACAAACATACACGTGGACGTTTCATGTTACCGTAAAAGTCCGACGATGGTCGCGTTGCTCGTTTTCCTTTTCTTTTCCAAGCGATAATAGTGCTGGTGTACACAATTCGGACATTTTACTTAAACATCTACAGAAACTTGGACACGTCTCTCCTCCCCTTCACCCCTTCTCCCAGCAACCTTCGTACAAAATCATTCGCCGTGTCATCGTATAATCGAGCGTAATCGAATTTTCATCCTCGTTTAGACGAGAAAGAATAAGCGTAATGAAATTCGACACGACGCGCGCGCGTTTTACGAAAAGAAAGGCTAACTTCTAACGTTCATTCCACGTATAATCTTTGGTTCTTGCGTTTCATAAACCAGCATATGTAGTATGTAAAAGAACCGTTTGTATCCGTCAGTATCTAATTAATCTTAACGATAAATTGCTTGCCAAGGGCTAAATCGACGCGATTGTTCGAATCGAACACGATGCTTTTCTTTACACGCTTTGGTTTACACGCTCGATTGGTGCGCGCGAAAGCTACACGGAACGAGTTGTCCCTCGACAAATATTAGCCTAAGAATGTTTCGATGCGAAACGCACAACGGAAATCCACAGTAAGTACGTGTCTGCCTTTAAAAACTTCTTTTCGACCCTCTTTTGCTGCGTCTCGCTATCGCAGGTATTTCTTTCTCTCTCTCTCTGACATATTCTAATAAATATATACATATATAATACGTTCGAGTTGCCGGTAGCATAGAAAATCTCTTCGAATAATTTCTACTCCAATGGACGATCGTTCCGCGAATCACGAGGCGTTCTTTTAGCCACCGCGTTTTCCACATTTTACACTTTCGGCAAGAATAAACGATAACGCATCGGTAAAAAGCTGGCTGAAGCTTCTGGAAAAAATGCAACGTTCGTCGTCGATCTGTATATTTGGTAAATCGCGGAAAATTGACCACGACGCGACGACGACGAGGCTTGTAGCGCGTTTGCTCCTATTCCACGATAATTCACTCTTCGTTTCGCCATTTTTTCCCTGTAATAAGGTTCCTTAATACTGTCTTACCTATCTAAACGTCGATGGCTAACGATTACACGCGCTTACAAAATCATCATATTAATTAAACTTAATTTAACAATGTTGTACGTAAGAGGGAACAGAGAGCGCTAAGTCCGTCGTGTATCAGCTACAGTAGGAATGTTGGCGGTACATAAGTACTTAGATATAAAAACTAAGAAATATAGAAACGATCATTCGGATATTAATTTCGATTGGCAACACTTATACTCGACGAATATTATCACCGTCTTCTCGTGTAGCGAGGTTACACGGTGACGATGTGAAACGAAGGGTGAATCAATCTTTGATATACGTTCTTGTTAGGAGGCCCCGCAACAACTGCAGCTAATTATACCACGCTAAAGATTTAGGATTACGTGTTTTTTGGTCCGTGGAGTATTATACGTTAACGACGTTAATTTATTTGTTTATTTATCGACGCTAGCACCTTATCGCCTAAACCACTGTTTCTTTCTTTTTTTCCTTTTTTTTCTTTTTTTATCATTTTCGTTCACTCGTGGCTGCTGGTGACGACGACCCGTATAAAACACAGCAATTCATCCCTTCTTCTATTTTTTATTCCATCGACTCCTCCCCCCTTGCCAAGCACGGCGAATCTTTTACCCCCTTCGGCTTTCTCGCAACGGGAGGAAAAAGGGAAGAAAAATTCGCCGAGTCTGGAGAGAGAGAGAGAGAGAGCGATCTTCGTCGACTCGAAGCTTGATACTACTAATACTAATTTTCCGCTAGGTGTCGAGAATCCTGTTCGTTTCCTGATCGGCCTGAACGTGCGGCGGGCCCTACGCAGTTTAATTCGTTGTGTGAATTACGCGTTATTCTCCAAGAATATTACTTTTATTTCTCCGTTATTTTACCGGTGCCCGTTCTCTGTCACCCGATCCTAATTGTCGTAATCGTAGTAAATATCATAGCTCGATAATAAGTACGGTATAATTATTATATCTGTCACAGTTTAGATAAACATTCGATTCTTTCCTTTTATTTTATATTTTAGACTCGCGACATAGATACGTGCCGATAAAGTGAATTGAAATTTATAACCGGTTCATCGGTGGAAACCGATGTAATTATGCTCTATAGACACGTAACACGTGAAATACGTTTCCTTGTGTAACACACGCGCGTACCTGTGCTACGCGCAGGTTACACCACACGTTTTTGAGCTTGGTGTTTTTCTTTTTTCTTTTCTTTTTGCCACAGGCAAAAATATCCCCAACGATTGGCTCCCGCGGTTTATTCAGAACGCGCGAGCGAATCCGCGAAAGCACGATCAGAAATTGAATGATTAGTTTTGGTCTGCGATTGATAATATTGCTCAAAGTATCGAAGAATCGACCTTTTTTCTTTTTTTTCTTTTTCTCCCCGTCGTTTTTCCTCCTATGTATAATAATTACATCTCATTGAAAGTTCGCAGTAAGAATAACGTTTACAAATAGCAATAACGATATAAGTAGCACGGTAGCAGCGGTATTTTAGTAGTTTAGTGGTAGTGGTAATAATATAGTTACTTCTTTTAGTGGTAACAATAGCAATAGTAGTAGTAGTAGTAGTAGTAGTAGTAATAGTAGTAATAGTAGTAATAGCAGTAATAATGATCGTGACAACGACGATGGTAGTAATTAACGAATAACGATAACAATAATAATGTTAACGGTAATGGTGGTAATGGTAATAATAACGACGGTGTCGATGCTATCCATAATAATAGATAAACACCGGCTACTCGGGAGAAACGTCGAATTATTTAGCACTGAAATCACATTATTCCGAAAAAATTTCCTCTCGGATTTTCATCGTTCCAAAAAAGAGAAAAACAAACATCGCGCGATTACTTTCGATCTTCCTATTGTCTGGATAGAATTTTCTTTGCTTTCCCTCCTTCTACGTTCCTCTTAAACTTATTTATTCGTCTTTTTCTTCTTTTTCTTTATTTTGGTTTCTCGAGGGCAAAGCGTCGGAGCGTCGCTCAAGCATCGAGTTTATATATGGGCACTTTCGTTAGATTTAATCGCAAGCTTTACCCGTATTACGTTAATTTCCCCCTGTGTGTCTGTGTCTCTGTGTGCGTGTGCGTGTTCTTGTTCATCGTATCTCCGAATTTCGCTGAAAACGAGCAATGAGAAAGGTATAAAAGATCGAAAACACAGAAAACACAGAGAGAGAGAGAGAGAGAGAGAGAGAGAGAGAGAGAGAGAGAGAGAGAGAGAAAAGGAAAAAAGAAGAAAAAAAAGGACGAGGAAATGTACTATCTATGTATGCGATTGTTCGATTGGAAAGATCCGGTGTAAGTAAGGTGTGTATGTCGCAACTTGTTCAGTCCAACGTTTGTCTCGCCTTTCCTTCTATCGCATCGATCGCAACCAGGTAGAGTACAAATTGTTAAAGCTACATTCGACGCGAAAGCTACCCTGAACGATCGAAAAGAGATTACACATCGTGGGTACTTGCGATACGTAAGTACTTAAGTATATACGCGAATACCTACATTGTTCAGATGAAACGACGATTGATTAACCAAATTTATATATATATATATATATGTATGTGTGGGTGTGTGGGTGTGTGGGTGTGTGTGTGTGGGTGCGGATGCGGGGGTGTACGCGTGTGTACATGTATGTATGTACTTATGTATGTATATATTTGTTTGTTTTTGTACAGCGGAATTGTATGCTTTGCAGCCCTGCGCTCCCTCAGTTGAAAGCGAACGTCTTTATTTACTTTTCCTTTAAAGGTCTACGAATATAGAGCTAACCTGCGATCACGTTGATTTATTTCTTTTTTTCTCCATTGCCGCGAGTCGATAATCGATAATCGATAAAGTACGGAAAAAAGGTCGATATTTAAGTAAAAGGCGAATCACGAGATAGCGATTTCATGGACGACACTTGCATCGACCTTCTCTATTCTTTAGTGAGTTTACAAGTACAATAACGTTCCTTAATTAGGTAAATTTGATTTGTTTTTAGCTAGCTTTCAAGAAGCATCCCCGAATTAGCGGGCGTGACTATCCGACAGTTAGAAGGAAAAAGTAAAGAAACGAACGTGCCTTGTGTCTCTCCATTTGTCTATTCTCTCCCTCTCTGCCTCTCGTCGTGTGTGTGTACGTCCTTGGTCGATCATCCGCTCGAGGATCGAGCTCTTTCGATAAAGAGTGCTTTTTTAAGAATTATCACATGTGAGAAAAGATGAGGAAGGGGCGAATCCACCGATTCGAGTATCTCCCGCCCACGATTTTCCTTGAAGAAGCCTAACCACAACCTAACGCCTCTCTCTCTCTCGATAATGTTTCGATTTTAGCGAGCCGAAACAACACTTTCGTCTGTCTTCTCTTCTTTCCTTTTCTTCGACGATCCTCCCCTCCCCTCCCGAAACGGGCACATTATTTCCCTTGGAATCTCTGGCGAATAATAATCGGATCGAAGGTGGAATTTGTTCGATCGTCGCCCCTCTGGTGCCGGTCTACGAGGTGCCTTTGTAGTGGATGAAGAAAAAGGTGAGGAACATGAAATAGGCGACCGGAAAGGTGATTCTTGCTATCACGTCGATCGTCTTTGCCACTCTTATCGGATGGGGTGGCTCCTTTTTCCGTAGCTGCAACAAAATCGTTGGGGGGTTGCTCAAATTGTTCGCCAGAAGGTGAATATACTCGTATTGTACTTACACGTATGTACAGAGACATGTGCGACGTAAGAGGGAAACGGCGAGGATATTGATCGTCGGAAATAGGAAGCTAGATGTTTCGTGGCTGATAGAGGAATATAGTTAATTAACATACCTCGGCTGTGCATCCATTGGTGGTGGTGTGCGTGCAAGGGTTGGGTCCACAGTTGGTGCAGGTTACGATCTCGTTCGGTCCTGTCGTAGCTCCGGTCGGTGGACCGCCCTCTCGCTTCTTTTTACCCTGCGACAGGGTCTCCGTAGAAGAAACTTATATTCTTACGATCTTTCGTTTAAACAACGATCCATCCTTCGACCAATTTCTCTATCCCCACTCCCACACATACGTACATACATATGTATTTCTTCCTTTCGGTCACCGATATGTCCAAAGCGAGGAGGAGAACAAACCCGTATACACATATGCATGTACGTATGTAGAGCCGATAAAAAAAAGAATTTTAGTTCGGGGGAAATTTTCGTTGGATGGCAGCAGCTTTTGTTCAGCTTCTAACGGTAATCGATCGTTCGAGATGACAAGCATAAGTTAAGCGTGACGAAGGCTTTGATCGAGGCGAACAAGCTTGTTGCACGTAGAGGCGTGTGAAATTCGGAAAGTTGCCGCGCGCCAGTCCTTCGATAATCCTCCGCCGATACTCTCGCGCAACCTAACCCAACCTTATTCTTTTCTTCTTTTCCCTTTCGTACAACGCGAGAAATCGTCTCCATTCGCCAACTTGACACTTCATTTTTGATCGAAAAGCGAATCGTTGTTTCTCTTAACCGATACATGTTGTACGTATACAGATATGGATCAACACTTTCGTGCCTCTGCGTATAACTTACAAATTACATGCCGTATAACATCTACGTTTCACGTTGTCGCACATCGGACTCGAATCGTTTCGACAATCGAGCGTACATCTGCCTTTCTTTCGAAATGTAATCAAGAAATATCTCATCTCGATTCCGACGTGAACAACTGTATTTACATCTCTAAGTCGTCGTTTCGAATCTGTGTTCCTCGAACACAGGTTCTCCGCATAATGAATCGTTCAACGGTAACGGTCTCGCGACCAACAATTTTCTTCACCGTTTTCGCCCAGTTTAACGCTTCCTCTCGATCCACTTCACCGTAAATTCACCAATTTCTCACCAATCTCTGTTCCCGTTTTCCTTCCATCGATATTTTCGTTAAACTGGGCGAACGTCAGAGCGGATTCTTGTACCGGCCAGTTGCGTTTGAGAAAGGTAGTTTTAATGTCAAGCTTTTATATGCTACATGTCAAGCTTCAATCGGGGTAAGTTCAATGGCAAAAAGCGATTTTTGATGTCACAAAAGAAAAGAAAAGAATGATGTATTATATACACAAGTACGTAAGTATATACGGCTGATCACACGGTTAAGAGGAAAGAAAGGCAACTAAACGGCGAATAAATTGCGGCAATTGAATGACTCGTCGACGCGCGTCGCGTCGCTATTTCTTCTTTCCAATTTTTTATCGCGTCGTTACCTCTAAAATCATCGTTCGGATGAATCTTCGAAAAGAGGAAAAAAATGGAAAAAGAAAGAACGACGATACTTCTCCGCGCGAAAGTTTCTTTTGTCTTGTTTTGTCTTTGTCCCGTCGAGAGTTGGATGAGAGAAGCTAAGAGGATCGTCGAAGATTGTAAAATATGTTTGTTCCTTTTTTGTTTTTTTTTTCTTCAAAATTCGTCGAATTGCATAGTTGGGGAAGTTTGTTTATTCGGTTCGACGAAAACACGAGATCGTAATCGAAAATGAAAAGCACCGCTCGCAAATCAAAGGATACAAGCGAATCGTCGCCGCCACTCTCTCGCTACTACTCGAAACTGTCTGCAAAAATCAACCCTTTACTCAAGCAAAGCGTTACGCAATTCATTTACCGTTCTCCTCGCATACACACGCGGTTCTCTTCTTCACTTTACCGGTCCTTCGATCTGCAAGCGAATGTCCGGCTCGAGTAATCGCTTTCACCGCCAGTCGAGAGTTCGTTCCTTTTCAGTTAACCGAGCAAAACGCGACAGCGAACACAAGCGTGTAACACGTCTTCCTTTTCACAGAGGTACCACGGAGAACAGAGAACGTTTTTTTCTTTTTCTTTTCACTCGAGCGTAACCGCTGATTCGAATCGCGACGGAATAATCGTACGTAGTTTTCGTCAAGGCAACGAGGTACAGTGTAATTCGAAGAAAATCTTATCGGACACGTTTGTCGTGTGCGTGCAAATTACACTTTTCTCCCATGCAGTCGCATGCGTTCCATACATAATACGTACAGTTCAAGGTATCCCCCTGTCATCGATTCAAAATGCGGATTCATGCACAACGGCGATACGCTCGTTCGATTTACAACAGCTTCTCCTTCTCCTCCTTCCCACCTACTCTCACATTTCGAACAAACAAGATACGCAAATATCGAAACGACCAAGATTGCAAATCCAACGAGCGCGTCTCGTTGGTAAAGAGTTGGTAGAGTAGAGAAACGAGCACAAAGATTCAGCGAGCACAGATTCTACCCAAGGTTAAGCTACTACATACTCGCAACGTTCTACCTTTCGTTCATACAGATTGCTCGCCAAATTCGTCGTAAAACCGTATGGAACAAGCGGCGAGAAAATTGGAGAAAATTGATATATCTGTGACGATTGTGAGAGATCGTATAGAGAATTTTGCGGCATTCTGTAAAGCAGTCTACACAGCGGTTGCATCGGCGTGTCTCTGCTACCGGAAACTGGAGAACGAGGAGAGAACGAGCGACAGAGAGATAGAGAGAAAGGAGGTGAAAGAGAAACAGAGAGAGAAAGGTGGAGGTGGAGTGATATAGAGAAATGGCACGAGCAGAGGCGGGAAGAGTACAATTAGCAAGGTGAGGGTTGGTGGTGGTCGAGAGGGGCGTTCTTCGACAAACATTTCGTACCTCCAAATGAAATTCTCCCATTCGGAATTACATTATCGATTATCGATACACCCTTCCCCGCTCGGTCAGAGCGGGAGCGAAAAAAATTACGCGAGCGGCCAACGAAATTTACCTTATTACACTTACTTTCGGTCGGACAAAGAAAACCCCTCTCGACAAAGCTCTCGTTAAAACGCGCAGCGAAATAGGGCCAGAGAAAGATAAAGGTTTTTCTTTTTTTTTTTTGTTTTTCGTTCCCTCGAACGATAGCAAGAGAGAACAAGTGTGTCCATGTGTTTACGCCGTGTATGTACGTGGTGTGTGTGTGTGTGTGTGTGTGTGTTGAGTATAAGTGTCGCGTATGCGTGTGTACTGTGTACGTACATGTGTGTGTCTGCGTGTGGTTCGTCAGGACGCGGTTAAGACCTTGCACGTGCACACCACTTTTTTTCCCCAATTTCTGCGGGTTGTTTGAGAAAACGAAAGAAACAGAGAGAAAGAGAAAAATATACACGTGGAGGAGAAGAAGGGTTGCATCCCCGCGCGTCAGTTATTCCTGGTTTCGTCGTTTCGACGGATACACGCGAGACGTGAATGGAACACGAGTAGTATCGTAGATATTGTTATCGTGATCGATATACAGTATAGATTGGGTTTTCTGTTCGGGTAACGCGCGAAGTCGTGACCGCGCCCTAATGCTATCTGGGGTCTTACCAAGGGGCTGGCCAATATTATCCCTATCCTGCTGAGCACCGCTGGGAGCCGCTGCAACATCACAGACACCAAACAAAGAGACTTACTCACCAACATTTCCACCAACCAAATTCTTACTAATTTTTTT